GAGAGAGGCTCACAGAAGTGCACTTACAAACCCTTCAACATATTGGAATGAATAGCAAAACAATCCACATGGAGAAAATGTGATAATGGAGCCATAACATGATGGCATCAGCCTCTTAAAACATTCCTACTCAAAGCTCTATTGTATGCACTATTTAGTTTGAGCATAGGGATATCTGGAAGCCACATCAAAGGGCTAATAGACAGACATTTTGTAAACATATGTAGAACTGATGCCAGGCCATAAAACAACATTGTACTGAGTATTATATGTCTTCAGAGAAGGCTGCTTTTTTTTTTTTTTCTTTCTGGGGTTGGGTTGGTTTTTTTTCTGTCTACAAATTATTTCTTCCCTTATGTGCATGAATGCCTAACAGGCTCAGAAGTCTGAACAATTTTCATGTTCTCTTGCCCCCTGGAGCTTTGCCCAGTATCACAAATTCCGAGAGAGAGATGATTTTTGAAATAGGGAAAGGAAGAAGAATGAAAAAGTAAATAAGCTGCTATTTCCTCTGTAGAACAGGTTCTGTTACATCAATCACAGACCAGTAAAGACCTTCACAATCTATTACCTTAACATCTCTGTTTCCCAGGTCATTCCTAGGACTACTACTTCCAAAGCGCTGTCCAAACTTGGCTCAGAGCTATATCACATTCTTCAATGCTCTTATATGCCTGTGGTGTTCAAAATAGAGTCACTTTTCAAATAGTACATTCTGTAAATATGGCACTCCATAAAAACAGGAGGCAAAAAAGCTGTGTAGAGTAAATTCCTGGAACAGCTCTTGAAGATTCCAAAAAAGCCACTTATGAGCTCCTCTGTTTCTGCTTTACAGTATTTATGCTAGATCACAGAATAATGAGCAACCATTAAATGTATGTACTTTGTAGGGCACTTAGGAAACAGTTTTCCCATCACTTAGTAACTGTAAGATAAGTAAAACAGCACTGCACACCAAGAAATACACAGTATGGAAAGACACTGAAAGTGGGGATTATAGAATATTATATCTTTATCCACTTTGATACCTTTTCAGTTAATCAAGCATTTTGTGGTTCTGTGTTTGGCACATTCGGTACATTGAAGACAGACTAACAAGAAACAGCTGCTATTTATAGCATTTCCCCAGAGATGGGAACGGTTGCTTCTGCACTTGAAGACCAATCATGTTACATCTGTATTAAAATGAGAAGACAAACATGTTGTACTGCCAGCTCTGCCTGAATTTCAAATGAAAATCACATTAGTTAACTGGTGAATTTCTCAGCCAGTCAGTCTCCAGTGTCAACTTACATAATTTAAATGAAACATCTCACCAATACACAGTACAGTACAAAAGGATGTTAACAGCATGGGCCCAGGTTCAAAAGTGTGCTTCAAAAACTCCTCCAAGATAAAAGTCAGGAATGGACTGCAAATGTCTCTAACCTGCAACAGCCTGGACCTCAGCAGGTTCTGCTACCATATCTTTCTCATTTCACAAACTCTTTGGCTCAACTGTCAGCAGTCATACAGGCTTAAATATGTTAAGTCCTGCAACTCACAGGTTTTCCGCTCTCCCTGCTGTGCTAAGCACTGTTAGAAGGGGGTCCCAAGCTCAGAAGGCTGCCAGGGCATCAAGTCATAGCATGTTTGTTCTCATTGCTTCCAATCTGTTTATATGAAGAAAAGCTTGATCTTGAACTCATTATATGACAGGCACAAGCTCACCTCCTTTGGGCACCTACAGTATTCAGGCCTCAGCAGGTACTAAGGTACAAGGACCTTGAGACTGACAGTGAGGATGGCAGATGTCTCTGCTCAGAACATGCACAGTCATAGCCACTCTGACATTAGCAAGGGTCCTGTCTGGGGAGAGCAGCCCTTCCCTAACCTAGAAGGGATAATACTAAGACAAACAGAACAGAGACATTGGTGAGACACTGAACTTTACTGACAGTGTGACAAAATCAATTTCCTTTTTCTGTTCAGATGCATTCTATACCACCTGAAAACTTGGTAGTGCAAAGTTGCAACTTACACTAGGTTTCAAAGTACATTTTTCTTAGTTGGAGCAATTGATGCTAAAGAATTTAGTTGCTGCTACTGGTTGCCCAAACAGAAAGGATAAAGCAGAACAGAAACCTAAAGCATCAGTGGGTTAACTTCTCAGAAGCACTCGTGTGCCTTGGGTACAGAGCTGCCTCAAAAAGCAACAGGACATCTGCACCCAGGTCACATCGTTGCTTCTGAAGATGAAGGCATCCCTGAGAGCTTGATGTTTCACAAAGCAGTAATTGCATTTCTTTTACTGCTTTAAGTTATTCAGAAACATAAATGTGTTGAAGGTAAGCACAGGTGCCTAAACAAAGGCTTGCAAGTTTGACAATTCCGAGTATCAATTTTGACGATATCAAACATTTCTTGCAACAGCAAAACAAAGCATGTATTACAGGACTTTAAGTATATTAAGTTTAAAACACAGCAAACTTTTAGGAAAACATGTGAGAAGTATTTCAACTACTTTTTTTTCCTATTTTCCTTAAAATTTTTCCAGTTTAACTTTTTTCCCCCTCCATTGCTATATGCCAGAATCCACACAAAACTCTTGGAAAAATATTTTTTAAAGGAGGGACTGAACTGGATATGCTAAAAGAGTGGTCAAATAAAGCAAAAAACAAAAAAGGCTAAGGAAAAAAAGAAATTATTTTCTCCTTTAAAGGATTTTAATAATAATATTGAACATTGCTTGTAACATAAAATTTTCAAATATTTCAAGCTCCTGGTGATTATTTTTAATACACAGGCTAAAATCTCACAGGAGGAATTAATGAATTATTTATAAATCAAGCAGTCTATTAAATTCTGATCAATATATAGATGAACTTAAACATACCTAACGTGCAATTACATCTAGAACTGTATCTCTTCTCACCAGCCTTCTGCAGTATCCCACAGTGACCCTCATTTTCAATTAAGTTCCAGTTTTTAAAGTCACAATTTGCTGCAATACCTGTGACCAGTAATCTTTCAGAGACTTCAGACTAATTTCAAACTGTTTTGCTTCAGACCTTTCTAAGAGTGATACCACCCGCTGCTGATTTCTCACCCAGAGTTCAGAGATCCAGATTTGCTTTTGTTTCAATTCAAAACTTAAACTGAAAGTTTGGCCTGTGGAAAAGGCACCTTTCTATTCCCCTGCTTTTGTACTGCATTTTGAAACACTCTGGCATAAAAGGCATTGTAAGAGTTTGGGTCTGCAATGTATTTTACTGCCTAAATAGCTAGATGTTTCCCATTTTTACCAGAGTAACGCAGTGGAAATGAGTGTGGTGAAACACCCATTAAGGCTTCAAGAGGAACTGAGTGCTAAAAAACCTAAACATTCACTTGTTTTATTTTTCTGTTTCTTGGTTACATTTTCAAAGTGTGTCCACTACCACTCCCATTAACATCAGCAGGGGGCTTGTAAATAAGTCTTTACTCAGTGTTTCAAAAAACTAAGCTTCTCAGTGGAAGAAGTGAAGAGATCCCCATCCATTTCATTACTTAAAGAAACAGAGCAGGACAGCAAAGAGAAAATCAAGTACAGGAAAGCACCTTAACACATCTTTGAAGGTTATATTTGGACCCTTCAAAACCTGAATTGAAATTTTGCATTTTGAAATACACCAAACAATTCAGGAAATATCATCTATTAGCTGGTTAGAAGCATGGCTAAAAAATTACATAAAATTAAATTAACTGTACTCTAATTTAGAAGTTGAGGCACTGTCTTTAACTTTGTAAAAACACTTTTCATTAAGCTAGACTCATAGTTGATGGTATGTAAACCAATCAAACACAAGGCACAAGGGTAGTTACTTTTTCCCTGCCCAGTGATCAAGCTTCTGAAACCATACATTCATGCCTACACTGAGGATCTCTAGAAATCACAAGGCAGAGCTACAGAACTACCATCTCAGAAAAGATAAAATCTTATAAGAGTTTTGCCTGGTTTAAAGGACAGAGGTAGTAATTCTTATTTTCCATTGAAGTTAGAAAACTACAATGTTTAAAAAAAATTGTAGCTCGGTAGATGTACTCCAGCAGCAATTTCTAGTGCTGCTATAACTGAGGTCCCATCAGCATTTTCACAACAAACCATACTGCCAGAAAATTAATTCCATGTTGTAAGCTGACACAGAAGACCTCATACTAGGCACAAATCCTTCTGCACCATGAATTTAGCTTGTATGATTTTTGGCTAAGAAGTTGGAAGAAAAGAGAAAGCAGGAAGAAAAGTCTTAAAATGGAAACCAATAATTTAGGATTAACTAGTGTTCTAACAAAATTTGCACATACTTTTTAGTGCAGATGGTTTATTCTTCCAAACTAACACATATACAACTCCTGCTACAATGCAGCAATGATTTGCACAGGAAAAAAATTTAAAAAAAGTTAAACTGACACCCTGTATTCACTTCTACATTTGAGAAAAAACTTGGGTAAACAATTTATTTCCAGGCAGCAGAACCTGCCTTATTTGCCTGATCAAGAAACCACTTGAAGATTATTAACAGAACAATAAGCAAATGCCAAGTACAAATCATTATGGCAACCTTAACTTACTGCTCATTATTTATAACTGTATTTGTTACAGTGCTAGGATTTCACTTCTGCTTACATACACGCTTCTTCGTAAGCCTATGCAGATGGTAGTATTTAAAGTGGGCTTTAAGTCAGGGAAACAAAAAGGAGGAGGTTAAATTGTGTACAGTTTAGTTGAATTTCCTGTTCTTAGAACACAGTAATTCTTATAGTTTTCTAAAATATATCCGAGTACATTAGATCTGAGTCTGGTGGTTTCAAACCTGCTACCTGCAAAAAAACTGAAGAGTCAAGATGTCTGAAATGGAGAAGAATATGTGAATAAGAGTTACTCGTTTCAAGGATTTCTTAGGAAAAGATGTTCCTTGGGGTTTTACTTTTTTGTATTTCTAAAGAACAAAATAAGTTTCTTTCTGTATATTCTCACTCACCTGCTCTGGGTACTTGCTGCCAACTATCTCTGCCACAATGTTAAAGGAAGGAGAGTCTGGATAGGTCTTAGCCCCCATCTTCAGGTGCACAACAATCTTAGTGCCCCGGGAAGACATCCGTGACATCATTTCAGCATCTTCCACAGAGATACAAGCAGTGGGAATCCTGGGCACATCAGGCTGGTAATTCTGCCACCCTGTATGTGGGCTGTGAAAACAAAAATAAAAACACAGTGCTAACAACTTAGGTCTGTGAGCTATTATCATTTTTATAGAATTATTAAAAAGAATACTTTCACTACCATCCTCAGTAGACTCTCAAAAAGGATATATTTACTATTTTAAAATAAACCTTTTGATAAAATACATCAAGTGTTTTTATACTGATCAGAATATCTGACTGTTACCATTCCATATGTCTGGAAAGCTATTCTGTGTCCGTTCTATTTAGGTCATTGTCATGCTTTAACATTACAGTAGTAAATGCTCTGATATCACGTTTCCTTCACTGCTTTATCAGGAATAAAAGCAATGAGACAGTAAGTGAACAGTCTGTAAGAAGTGTGGTTTTTTGATCTGTAACAATTAATGAAATTAAAATTCACTACTTCAACTAATTCAACATTAGACTGGAGATTTATTTTGAAGAGCACTAATATGAGAGACTTCAGGAAAAATAAGACAATGAGACTATAAAAAAAACCCAGCACATTTATTTGTTCTCAGGACACTCGATGTTTCAACCACTACCTGCAGACAAAAGAGAACTAAAATAAAACAAACAAACAAACAAACCCCCAACAATTAACTTTACACAAATTATGCAAAGAAAAAGAAAAATATGAACCATTAGATGCAAGGCTTCAGTGTCTTCCATTTAGGAATAGCTATGCCTCGTGGAGATAAAAAAGGGGAAAAATAATTTAAAAAATAAATCACAAAGTTCCTCTGACATTCACAGTGCAATATGGAGTGACTTCTTCTCTCCTCTCAGAAAGCTGCAGATGGTTTCATGAATGTGTAAAGCAATTATTTCCCTTCCAGAGGCTCCTTCTACCACCACTGACTGCAGAGCTAACTGGAGTGAATGCTTCCACATCTAACATCACAGGATCACTAAAAGGCAATGGACAATTTCCTTAACAAGTTCCTTCACTTTTTTCACATTTGGCTATTATTTACATTTTTTCTCATTTTCTGGTGCTTCTGTTGAGGTTTTTTGGATCTGACTTGCAGAAGTACTGAGTATTACAGCTGCAGCTGAAGTCAACGCTTTTAAAGTGAAGTTGTATATAAAGCTAGATACAGTGGAAAAAAACATGTGGGGAAGAACGAGAAATCAGGATCTAGATGTATGTCCAAACTCACAAATACTCCCGATATAAAATCATTCATTGCCTTCATTTCCCACTTGTAAAAGAGGAATAAAGATACTCTCTGTTTCAAGAAGATGGACTCAATGAACACTTGAGAACCATTCTGACACTGCATTAATGATCAGAAATCAACTGGTATACAATTATATATCCTAAATCCTAAAATAAGCTTAAAACTGTGCATTGAAATATTAGAGTAAAACTCTGAATAAGTAGCTCTCCAGTACTGGCCATCCTCTGCAGTAAATCTGAGAGCTGAAATAATACATTTGTAATCCTTTATTTCAGGTCTACTTTGTAATTCTCAAGTTTCAGTCACTACTGCAGAGGTACTTTCAATATACATAAAATATTCAGCCATGTAGAGGCTTCTTCAATATTCTTATGAATATGCTATTTGTCTCAGTTACTAAATTCTAACTTTATCAGCAAAATGCCAGTGAATTAAGTTGCTGAAGGAAATCTCTAAAGCTAAATCTTATCTTTGTCTACGTTACCCTATGAAGAAGGGCTAGAGCTGAAGCTTTCAAACCAGATTACACTCCTCACAACAGCTGTTACAAGTTTTAACACCATTTATCCATATATTAATAACAGAATAGCAGAATGGTTGAGGTTGGCAGGGATCTCTGAAGGTCATCTGGTCCAACCCTCCTGCTCAAGCAGGGCTACCCAGAGCCAGTTGCCCAGAATCATGTCCAATATGTGAAAATCTTCACCTATGAGCCTGCTTATAGTAGCAGACACATATTTTTATACATTTAAACAAAAAAAAAAATTAAAAATTGGGAGATTTTTAACTCTTCTAAACTGGGAAAAAAACATGTCATTCCTAAAGGAGATGTGGTGATGAGGGAGGGAGAAATTCACTTTGTAAGGATATAAATTAGGTAAAATGGGAGAGATTATTCAGCTCTATTTCTTTAGAAGAATAAATCCTTCTCAACAATAACAAGTCATATCATAATCAATAACATACCCTGCAGAGCAGATATGTATTTGCAAAGAAAATACAAAAATCAGTTACAGAGGTCTTATGGGAGCTGCTTCAGTGTGAAGACAGATCTGTTTATTAGGTGGCAACACTTTAGGAAATTATTGCTCCCAGTTGTTTATGGCTGAACCTCATACGAAGGCCAGTGCCCTTTCTCCTCATCAGCCTTGCAGGTCAGGTGACCCATAGCTCATAGAGCTACCTGGGTACTTGGAACCTCTTGTGCCACATAATCCTCCCCAAGTAGGATAAACTCACGTAGACTTATAAATTCAGATCTTATGTATTTTTTTCTTTCCATTTGTCCCTGTAAAAAAAGAGCCCCCACCCTCTCCACCCACGCTTATAAACTCCAACAATTTGCTGCATATGTTTAATATTTTTTCTGAGTGTTTGTGGATATACCCAGCATGTTAACCAGACTTCCCAAAGAACATAAAATAAACAACACACTGAAAATAAGAGATCACAATTTCATATATTAATGTTCAAAAAACCCCCTGCATTCAACAACTCAGCAGAAACAAACAGTTTTTGCACATTTTAAATGAATCCATTCACCTGAGTCTTCTGGCAAGATTATGTCTGAATACTAACGTGCCATGTACATTGAACTGCAGTGATTCAGGTTTTATCACCACCTGTATTGATTTCACTCCCCTTGTTATTTCCCAGATACTCAACAAAAATAACCCTAAAATTGTATTTGTTTCTCCAGTATAAGTAGCAATTATGTTTCTTTTGGATGTTCAATCCTGACAGTCCACCACAATTGTGAATAAAGCTTCCGACAACCCAGTGAGATGCACGCACGCTTACACACCCCAAATGAATGAACGTTTGCAGGTAAAAAATTTACTCTGGAGTAAATTTGGTTTACATGGAAAGGTTTCAGTAGAAGGGGTGCTACAGGGGTGGCTTCTGTGAGAAGCTGCCAGAAGCTTCCCTCATGTCCAACAGAGCCAATGCCAGCCGGCTCCAAGGCGGACCTGCTGCTGGCCAAGGGCTAGCCCATCAGCAATGGTGGTAGCACCTCTGTGATAATGTATTTAAGAAGGGGAAGGGGAAAAAAACCCCCAACTGTGCAATGGCAGCCAGAGAGAGGAGTGAGAATATGAGAGCAACAACTCTGCAGACACCAAGGTCAGTGAAGAAGGTTGGGGAGGAGGTGCTCCCCAAGTTGAGTCTGTTTTGCCCACAATGGTAATTGGTGAAGGATCTCTCCCTCTCCTTATCTCGACTCATGAGCCTTTCATTGTATTTTCTCTCTCCTTTGGTGGACACCTGATGTCCAGCCAAGGTCAATCCACTAGATTAGCCTAAAAAATAAACCTTAAAGTCATGTGGTAGTCTTGCCATTTTTATGCCCAAACTACTGTTTTTAGTACTACTACTGAGATTATAAAGATAAACCCAACTACCCAAATTAGGACATTTTGGTACAGGCAGTGCCAAAATAAAGTGTCCACTTACTAAAGCACCAAATAGTACATTAAAAAAATTCTAGGTAAAGTAAATTGAGCCCCTTTTATGCAGAAATCACCAAAAACTGGAAAGGCTGCAGGCCATATGGCAAAGCCTGAGCAAGAATTAACTAAACAAAATAGAAAAGAAATTATTAGCAGGCTCGGTGTGTAACCGGCAACGATGGAGAGAAGCAGACCTGAGTTTGGCTCAAAACGGGGCAAAAAGGATGTGGTTTCAAGAGAAGGAATTTTGGTACTTGTAGGCAAGGAAGAATATTTTCCCTGTGTCTGAACAAACATGACTTTGTGGCTATTTTTTCTAAAGAAAAATAAATTTACTAAAAAAAATAAAAAATCTGACTTTCATTTACCAGTCCCTGCCCCAGAAAAAGAAAGGAAAGTATCACATAAAACTCGTGAGGGAGACGGCTTGATGTCCAGATGGAGATCGGTGACAACTAGTGTCCCTCTGGGATCCATACCGGGAGCAGTACTATTTAATATATTCATCAACCATAGAGACAGTGGGATTGAGCGCACCCTCAGCAAGTGGCTTGATGTCCAGACGGAGATCGGTGACAACTAGTGTCCCTCTGGGATCCATACCGGGAGCAGTACTATTTAATATATTCATCAACCATAGAGACAGTGGGATTGAGCGCACCCTCAGCAAGTTTGTTGATGACACCAAGCTGAGTGGTGCAGCTGACATGCCTGAGAGATGGGATGTCATCCAGAGGGACCTGGATAAGCTTTAGAACCCCATGTGAACTTCATGAGGTTCAACAAGGCCAAGTGCAAGGTCCTGCACCTGGGTCAGGGCAATCCCCAGTACCAATACAGGCTGGGGTATGAAGGCATTGAGAGCAGCCCTGTGGAGAAGGACTTGGGGGTACTGGTGGATAAAGAGCTGGATGTGAGCCAGCAATGTGTGCTCGCACCCAGAAAGCCAACCATATCCCAGGCTGCATCAAAAGAAGCACGGCCAGCAGGTTGAGGGAGGTGATTCTGCCCCCCTACTCCAGGCTAGTGAGACCCCACGCTAGAATACAGTGTCCAGCTCTGGAGTCCTCAGCACAAGAAAGACATGGACCTGTTGGAGTGGGTCCAGAAGAGTGCCACAAAGATGATCAGAGGGATAAAACACTTCTATGAGGACAGGCTGAGAGAGTTGGGGCTGTTCAGCCTGGAGAAGAGAAGGCTCTGGGGAGATTTTATAGGAGCCTTCCAATACCTGAAGGGGGCCTACAAGAAAGATAGGGACAGACTTTTTAGCAGGGCCTGTAGCGACAGGACAAGGGGTAATGGCTTTAAATGAAAAGAGGGCAGATTTAGACTAGATATAAGGAAGAAATTTTTTACAATGAGAGTG